GGGGGGGGGGGTCAAGTCTATTGTGGCTTCTCAGTGGGATGGGGCTGGTGAAGGAAACGGGGCTTTAGGAGAAGAGGAAACTCATTGTTTGCAGGGGCTTTGTGAAGCTTTTCTTCCGCTCCACGGCGAAGAACCTCATCTAGGACGAGCCTAATAAAAAAAAAAAATAGAAAGGAAGAGGAGGGGAGAAAAAAAAAAGGTTTTTTCAGAAGGTTTTAAGGTTTCAGAAGGTTTTAAGGTTTCAGAAGGTTTTAAGGTTTCAGAAGGTTTTAAGATCATCCCTAATTAAAAAATGGAGCCTTTCTACGTGTCTTCGTTCCCCTTTGGAGCCGTCGGGGCGGTGCTGGGAGCCAGGAGGACCTTGGTGGTTGATGAGGAGAAGCCTGGGCAGGTCAAAGCCCAGCTCAACCTTCGCTCAGGTCCTTCCAATCCCCATCCCTCATGTTTCTGACGGGCCGGGATTGAGGTTTGGAAAACGCCTCCGCCTTCCCGCACCAAAGACAAACCCCCCCCCTTCCCTCTCCCAACTCTCCCTTTGAACTCAAAACCGCCACGAATTCTGCTTTTAATACCTCCGTGCAGCTGGCAAACAGCCTCCTGGGCTCGTTTTTTCCTTAAATCCCCTTTTCTCCCCCTCAAATTTTGCCATTTTTTTCAGGCAAAACCGAAATTTCAAGACCCAATAAATGTGGGTCTTGAAAATGACCTTCCCAAACATCCCAACCCCGGATCCCGACATCCCATCCTCTTCCCAGGGAGCTGGGAATTGCTGTTGTTCAGCAGAGATTTCAAGACCCAATAAATGTGGGTCTTGAAAATGACCTTCCCAAACATCCCAACCCCGGATCCCGACAGCCCATCCTCTTCCCAAGGAGCTGGGAATTGCTGTTGTTCAGCACATCCTCCCTCCAGGCAAAATTGATGTGATTATTGAAAATAAAGGACAATTAGGGAGAAAAGTGAAGTTCTTTGAGCGGCGTCTTGCGTTAGAATTAAGTGGATAAATGGAAATTCTCTCCTGTCGCAGGGAATTAAAAAAATCTGGTTTCCTTTGTCTTTTTTTTTTTAAACTTCATGATTTTTTTTCTTCTTTCTCCACAGGGTCACAGCGTCATCCGGTCGGCCACGAACACGACCCTGCCCCACATGCTGATGTCGCAGCGTGTGATCGCTCCCAACCCTGCCCAGTTACAGGGGCAGCGGGTTCCTCCCAAACCCGGCCTCATCCGCACTACAACTCCGAGCATGAACCCAGCCATCAACTACCAGCCGGTAGGTTCCTGCTCCTATCGATTTATTATCCATTTAATCAATTTATCGATTCGTCTCGGGGCTTCGGGCGCGGTCGATTAGTGAAAAGGGAGGTTCAGGAGGTGCCTCAATGAGCCACGGGGGAGCCAGGAGCTCAGCAGGAAGGAAGTTTGAGATCTGAACGAAGATGGATGTTCTTTGTGGAAGAACAAAATGATAAATAATTTAAAAATTCCACTTTGGAGGAATTCTTCGGTCGGATCTTGGAGTCCTGATGGACAACAAGTTGCCCAGCAATGGGCCTTGGTGGCCAAGGAGGCCAATGGCATCCTGGGGGGCATCAAGAAGAGCGTGGAGAACCTCAAGGGAGGTCATCCTGCCCTTCTGCTCTGCCCTGGGGAGTCCCCAGCTGGAGCACTGGGACCAGTTGTGGGCTCCCCAGTTCCAGAAGGACAGGGAAGTGCTGGGGAGGGTCCAGTGGAGGCTGTGAGGATGATGAGGGACTGGAGGAAAGGCTGAGGGACTCGGGGTTGTTCAGCTGGAGAAGAGCAGATGGAGAGGGGATCCCATCGATGCTGAGCAAGAGCTAAAGGGTGAGGGGGCAAGAGGATGGGGCCAGGTTCTTCCCAGGGGTGCCCGGGGACAGGACAGGGGGCAACGGGGACAAACTGGGACACAGGAAATGACCATGAGGGTGGCAGAGCCCTGGAAGAGGCTGCCCAGAGAGGTGGTGGGGTCTCCTTCTCTGGAGACATCCCAACCCCCACCTGGATTTGATCCTGTGGGACCTGCTCTGGGTGACCCTGCTTGGGCAGGAGGTGGGACTGGGTGGTCTCCAGAGGTTCCTTCCAACCCCTACAATTCTGTGAGGCTTCTCCTGGTGATTCCGAAGCACCGGAGGCTCCTGCTGCTTATTGTAAGGATGGAGATGACCTCCTTGCTCCAGCTCCCTGTCTCCCCAGGTCTTTTTGGGCACGTTGTGAAGAGGGAGGGTTGCAAGAAGCCAACGTGGCTCATCCAGGTTATTTTATGGGCCGAGCTGCAATCGGGGACTTTATTAATTATCCATATTAATCCTCATCATCTCCTTCTCCTCCCCAGCAATCGAGTTCTTCTGTTCCTTGCCAGCGGACGTCGTCTTCAGCCATCTATATGAACCTTGCCTCCCACATCCAACCCGGCACGGTCAACAGGGTGTCTTCTCCTCTCCCCAGCCCCAGCGCCCTCAACGACGCCGCCAACTCCCAGGCGGCCGCCAAGCTTGCCCTCCGCAAGCAGCTGGAAAAGACGCTGCTGGAGATTCCCCCTCCCAAACCCCCTGCTCCCCTCCTCCATTTCTTGCCCAGCGCGGCCAACAGCGAGTTCATCTACATGGTGGGGCTGGAGGAGGTGGTGCAGAGCGTTATCGACAGTCAAGGTGAGCTTCTGGGGACTGGGGTTGGTGTTTCAGCTTCCCTCCACCACCACCATATGGAAAGAAAACCCCACCCTTTCACAGAATCATTTGAGGTTGGATGGGACCTCTTGGAGATCATCTCCTCCAACCCCCGTGGGGTTTGAATGTCTCCAGAGAAGGAGACCCCACCACCTCTCTGGGCAGCCTCTGCCAGGGCTCTGCCACCCTCAAAGTCAACAAGTTCCTCCTCATGTTGAGATGGAACTTCTCACATCCCAGTTTGTGCCCGTTCCCTCTTGTCCTGTCCCTGGGCACCACTGGAAAAAGCCTGGCCCCATCCTCCTGACCCCCACCCTGGAAGGATTTCCAGGCCTTGATCAGATCCCCCCTCAGCCTTCTCTTCTCCAGACTCCAAAGCCCCAAGTCCCTCAGCCTTTCCTCCCCAGAGAGATGCTCCAGGCCCCTCAACATCCTGGACCCTCTCCAGCACTTCCCTGTCCTTCTGGAACTGGGGAGCCCACAACTGGTCCCAGTGCTCCAGCTGGGACCTCCCCAGGGCAGAGCAGAGGGGCAGGATGACCTCCCTTGAGGTTCTCCACGCTCTTCCTCATGCCCCCCAGGATGCCATTGGCCTCCTTGGCCACCAGGGCCCATTGCTGGCTCCTGGGCATCCTGTTGTCCCCCAGGACTCCCAGATCTTTCTCCTCAGATCTGCTCCCCAACAGGTCACCCCCAACCTCTCCTCGCTCCTGGGCATCATGTTGTCCCCCAGGACTCCCAGGTCTTTCTCCTCCCAACAGGTCACCCCCAACCTGTGCTGGTTCCTGGGCATCCTGTTGTCCCTGATGACTCTTAGGTCTTTCTCCTCAGAGCTCCTTCCCAGCAGGTCACCCCCAGCCTGTCCTGGCTCCTGGGCATCCTGTTGTCCCTGATGACTCTTAGGTCTTTCTCCTCAGAGCTCCTTCCCAGCAGGTCACCCCCAGCCTGTCCTGGCTCCTGGGCATCCTTGTTGTCCCTCAGGACTCCCAGGTCTTTCTCCTCAGGTCACCCCAACCTGTCCTGCTGCACGTACTGGTATTTTTATTAGGAAAACCATGAAAAATCCGTGATTTGCCAGGTGTTTCCCATCTCATTCCCATTTTTGGTGCCTCCCCCCCAGGGAAAAGCTGCGCGTCCCTCCTGCGCGTGGAGCCCTTCGTCTGCGCCCAGTGCCGCACCGACTTCACCCCGCACTGGAAGCAGGAGAAGAACGGGAAGATCCTGTGCGAGCAGTGCATGACTTCCAACCAGAAGAAGGCACTGAAGGCAGAGCACACCAACCGGCTGAAGAACGCCTTCGTCAAAGCTTTGCAGCAGGAGCAGGCAAGTAGATGGTGCTCCGGTGGGATACGTGGGTTCTGGTGGGACACCTGGGTTCTGGTGGGACACGTGGGCTCTGGTGGGACACCTGGGCTCCGGTGGGACACCTGGGCTCCGGTGGGACACATGGGCTCTGGTGGGACACGTGGGCTCTGGTGGGATACGTGGGTTCTGGTGGGACACCTGGGTTCTGGTGGGACACGTGGGCTCTGGTGGGACATGTGTGCTCCGGTGGGACACGTGCGCTCTGGTGGGACACGTAGGCTCTGGTGGGACACGTGGGTTCTTGTGGGACATGTCGGCTCCGGTGGGACACGTGGGCTCTGGTGGGATACGTCGGCTCTGGTGGGACACATAGGCTCTGGTGGGACACATGGGCTCTGGTGGTGCTCCGGTGGGACACGTAGGCTCTGGTGGGATATGTCGGCTCTGGTGGTGCTCCGGTGGGACACGTAGGCTCTGGTGGGACACGTGGGCTCTGGTGGGATACGTCGGCTCTGGTGGGACACATAGGCTCTGGTGGGACACATGGGCTCTGGTGGTGCTCCGGTGGGACACGTAGGCTCTGGTGGGATATGTCGGCTCTGGTGGTGCTCCGGTGGGACACGTAGGCTCTGGTGGGACACGTGGGCTCTGGTGGGATACGTCGGCTCTGGTGGGACACATAGGCTCTGGTGGGACACATGGGCTCTGGTGGTGCTCCGGTGGGACACGTAGGCTCTGGTGGGATATGTCGGCTCTGGTGGTGCTCCGGTGGGACACGTAGGCTCTGGTGGGACACGTGGGCTCTGGTGGGACACATCAGCTCAGGGAAAGCCTGGAATTCCCCCATCCCGGGCTCTGGGACTCCCCATCCCTTTGCTCATCTCCAACCTCATGGCTTTGAGGTTGGTTGTAGATCAATCAAGGTTCCCCATCGTGAACCTGAGGAGCTTCTCCCCGGGGACATCCAGCTCGTGGAGCTTTGGAGTGTCCGGAATACTCCAGAGCAGCTGCTCCCTCTCCCTTTGTTGGGCTCGGGTGGGACGCTTGGGCTCTGGTGGGACACGTAGGCTCTGGTGGGACACGTGGGTTCCGGTGGGACACGTGGGCTCCGGTGGGATACATGGGCTCTGGTGGGACACCTGGGTTCCGGTGGGACACCTGGGCTCTGGTGGTGCTCCGTTGGGACACATAGGCTCTGGTGGGACACGTAGGCTCTGGTGGGACACCTGGGCTCTGGTGGGACACGTGGGTTCCGGTGGGACACGTAGGCTCTGGTGGGACACGTGGGCTCTGGTGGGACACGTGGGCTCTGGTGGTGCTCCAGTGGGACACGTGGGCTCTGGTGGGACACATGGGCTCTGGTGGGACACGTGGGCTCTGGTGGGACACGTGGGTTCCGGTGGGACACGTGGGCTCTGGTGGGACACGTGGGCTCTGGTGGTGCTCCGGTGGGACACGTAGGCTCTGGTGGGACACGTAGGCTCTGGCGGGACACGTGGGCTCTGGCGGGACACGTGGGCTCTGGCGGGACACGTCGGCTCTGGTGGGATACGTGGGTTCCGGTGGGATACGTGGGTTCTGGTGGGACACCTGGGTTCTGGTGGTGCTCCGGTGGGACACGTGGGCTCTGGTGGGACACGTGGGCTCTGGTGGTGCTCCGGTGGGACACGTGGGCTCTGGTGGGACACGTGGGCTCTGGTGGGACACGTCGGCTCTGGTGGTGCTCCGGTGGGACACGTAGGCTCTGGTGGGACACGTAGGCTCTGGCGGGACACGTGGGCTCTGGCGGGACACGTGGGCTCTGGCGGGACACGTCGGCTCTGGTGGGATACGTGGGTTCCGGTGGGATACGTGGGTTCTGGTGGGACACCTGGGTTCTGGTGGTGCTCTGGTGGGACACGTGGGCTCTGGTGGGACACGTAGGCTCTGGTGGGACACGTGGGCTCTGATGGGACACGTGGGCTCTGGTGGGACACATCAGCTCAGGGAAAGCCTGGAATTCCCCACCCCAAGCTCTGGGACTCCCCATCCCTTTGCTCATCTCCAACCTCATGGCTTTGAGGTTGGTTGTAGATCAATCAAGGTTCCCCATCATGAACCTGAGGAGCTTCTCCCCGGGGACATCCAGCTCGTGGAGCTTTGGAGTGTCCGGAATACTCCAGAGCAGCTGCTCCCTCTCCCTTTTTGGGTCATTTTCCCCCTGGATTTCTCTCTCGAGGGTGGTTGGGGACTGCTCCCTCCCCAATTTTGTCCCTGGTTTTCCTGGAAGTCACTTCACCACTTCCTGCCTGCTCCTTTTTCTGGGGAATTGAGGGAATTTGCTAAATTCTCCCCATAAACCGGTGTCGGAGAATTAGTTTTGAGGCCCTGGAGTCAAATAAACTGGAATTATCATTTGTGAACTGTGAAAAAAAAACCAAAACAAACAAAACCCCTAAATATGGAGTGGAATTGGCTGCTGTAAATGGGACGTGGCTTTTTTTGGGGGGCCGGAGCAGCTGCTCCCTCTCCCTTTTTGGGTCATTTCCCCCCTGGATTTCTCTCTCGAGGGTGGTTGGGGACTGCTCCCTCCCCAATTTTGTCCCTGGTTTTCCTGGAAGTCACTTCACCACTTCCTGCCTGCTCCTTTTTCTGGGGAATTGAGGGAATTTGCTAAATTCTCCCCATAAACCGGTGTCGGAGAATTAGTTTTGAGGCCCTGGAGTCAAATAAACTGGAATTATCATTTGTGAACTGTGAAAAAAAAACCAAAACAAACAAAACCCCTAAATATGGAGTGGAATTGGCTGCTGTAAATGGGACGTGGCTTTTTTTGGGGGGCAAAAAGAGTCTTTGGGCTGTTTGTAACGAGTGGGTGCGGAGAGAAAAAAACCTCTTGGTGCTGCAGTTCCAGTAACACCTGGGGAAAGCAGCTGGGTTTTGGGTGGTTTTCCAGTAAAGTGGTGATTGTGGTGTGTGGGGAGAGGGTCCTGCTTCCCTGTCCCAGGCTGGGAAAGCCACCCTTCATGGCTGGTGACGGCGTGAGTCCTGGTGTCACCGTGAGCCCCGGTGTCACCGTGAGCCCTGGTGTCACCGTGAGTCCTGGTGTCACCGTGAGCCCTGGTGTCACTGTGAGTCCTGGTGTCACCGTGAGCCCTGGTGTCACCGGAGGGGTCCTGTGGGGTCTGGTGGGATGGGATGATGGGTCTCTGAGGATGCTCCTGGTTGTCTCCCTCAGGAGATCGAGCAGAGGTTACAGCAGCAGGCGGCCTTGTCCCCCACCGCGGCCCCCGCCGTCTCCAGCGTCAGCAAACAGGAGAACATCATGAGGCACCACACGCTCCGGCAGGTGGGTGACAATGGTCTCACCAGGAAAGGAGCCTTCATCCCCTCCCCGAGGAGGAGGAGGAGGAGGGAGGTGGGAGCGGCTCCAGGCTCTGGCTGCCCTTTTTCCTGGGGAATGTAAGGTTGGTTTTATCCCGAGGCCCCTGCACCCCCTTTCCTCCTGCCAGCAGAGGCTGGAGCTGCTGCTGGTGTCCTCTCCCAACACTTTCACTTGGATCCATCCATTGCATCCCGTTCCCCCTGGATCCCTCCCATCCATCCTGGATCCCTTCCATCCATCCCATTCCCCCTGATCCCTCCCATCCATCCTAGATCCCTCCCATCCATCCCGTTCCCCCTAGATCTCTCTTGTCCATCCCAGATCCCTCCCATCCATCCTAGATTCCTCCCATCCATCCCATTCCCCCTGGATCCCTCCCATCCATCCTAGATCCCTCCCATCCATCCCGTTCCCCCTGGATCCCTTCCATCCATCCCACAGCTGCTGCTGATCTCTCCCACCCCTTTCCCTCTTGGATCCCTCCCATCCATCCCAGATCTCTCCCATCAATCCCATAGCTGCTGCTGGTCTCCTCTCCATCCCTTCCCGTCAGATCCCTCCCATTGATCCCAGATCCCTCCCATTGATCCCATAGTTGCTGCTGGTCTCTTCTCCATCCCTTCCCCTTGGATCCCTCCCATTGATCCCAAATTCCTCCCATGGATCCCACAGCTGCTGGTGGTCTCCTCTCCCACCCCTTCCCCTCAGATCCCTCCTATTGATCCTGGACCTCTCCCATCCATCCTGTAGCTGCTCCTGGTCTTCTCTCCATCCCTTCCCCTCGGATCCCTCCCATGGATCCCATTCCCCTCGGATCCTTCCCATCCATCCTGTAGCTGCTCCTGGTCTTCTCTCCATCCCTTCCCCTCGGATCCCTCCCATGGATCCCATTCCCCTCGGATCCTTCCCATCCATCCTGTAGCTGCTCCTGGTCTTCTCTCCATCCCTTCCCCTCGGATCCCTCCCATGGATCCCATTCCCCTCGGATCCTTCCCATCCATCCTGTAGCTGCTCCTGGTCTTCTCTCCATCCCTTCCCCTCGGATCCCTCCCATGGATCCCATTCCCCTCGGATCCTTCCCATCCATCCTGTAGCTGCTCCTGGTCTTCTCTCCATCCCTTCCCCTCGGATCCCTCCCATGGATCCCATTCCCCTCGGATCCTTCCCATCCATCCTGTAGCTGCTCCTGGTCTTCTCTCCATCCCTTCCCCTCGGATCCCTCCCATGGATCCCATTCCCCTCGGATCCTTCCCATCCATCCTGTAGCTGCTCCTGGTCTTCTCTCCATCCCTTCCCCTCGGATCCCTCCCATGGATCCCATTCCCCTCGGATCCTTCCCATCCATCCTGTAGCTGCTCCTGCTCTCCTCTCCATCCCTTCTCCTCCCATCCCTCCCATCCATCCCAGATCCCTCCCATTCATCCTGTAGCTCTTGCTGGTCTCCTCTCCCACCCCTTCCTCTTGGATCCTTCCCATCCATCCCAGATCCCTCCCATCCATCCCAGATCCCTCCCATTGATCCTGTAGCTCTTGCTGGTCTCCTCTCCCACCCCTTCCTCTTGGATCCTTCCCATCCATCCCAGATCCCTCCCATTGATCCTGTAGCTCTTGCTGGTCTCCTCTCCCACCCCTTCCTCTTGGATCCTTTCCATCCATCCCAGATCCCTCCCATCCATCCCAGATCCCTCCCATTGATCCTGTAGCTGTTGCTGGTCTCCTCTCCCACCCCTTCCTCCTGGATCCTTCCCATCCATCCCAGATCCCTCCCATTGATCCTGTAGTTCTTGCTGGTCTCCTCTCCCACCCCTTCCTCTTGGATCCATCCCATCCATCCCAGATCCCTCCCATTGATCCTGTAGTTCTTGCTGGTCTCCTCTCCCACCCCTTCCTCTTGGATCCATCCCATCCATCCCAGATCCCTCCCATTGATCCTGTAGTTCTTGCTGGTCTCCTCTCCCACCCCTTCCTCTTGGATCCATCCCATCCATCCCAGATCCCTCCCATCCATCCTGTAGCTGTAGCTGGTCTCCTCTCCCACCCCTTCCCCTTGGATCCTTCCCATCCATCCCAGATCCCTCCCATTGATCCTCTAGCTCCCCACCCACCCACCATCTTTTCTTCTCTTCTTCCTCAGGCTCCTCAGCCCCAGAGCACTTTGCAGCGCGGCATCCCCACCTCGGCCCGCTCCATGCTCTCCAACTTCGCCCAGGCACCCCAGCTCTCGGTGGCCGGCGGTCTCCTCGGCATGCCAGGTACTGTCCCCACGGGGGCACGGGGAGGGACGGGGCTTGGGGACAAAGGGAGAGGTTGATTTGAGGACCATGTCCCAGCAGGGGTGGGGGAATCTGCCCCTCTGCTCTGGGGAGAACCCCCAACCCAGCGCTGCCTCCAGCTCTGGGGCCACCACCAGCAGAAGGACACGGAGCTGTTGGATGGGGCCAGAGGAGGCCCCAGAGATGCTGGGAGGGCGGGGGCTGAGAGAGTTGGGGGCATTCAGCCTGTAGAAGAGAAGGCTCTGGGGAGACCTTGGAGCCCCTTCCAGTCCCTCAAGGGGCTCCAGGAAAGCTGGGGAGGGGGGGATTCCTGATGAGGTAGGGGAGCCATGGGACAAGAGGTAATGGTTTTGAGCTGAAAAATGGAAGATTGAGGTGAAATGTTGGGAAGAACTTTATTTGGAGGGTGGTGAGAGCCTGGCCCAGGTTGCCCCGAGAAGCTGTGGGTGCCCCATCCCTGGAGGGATTCAAGGGCAGGTTGGAGGGGGCTTGGAGCAACCTGGGCTGGTGGGAGGTGGCCCTGGATGGAATGGGGTGGGCTTCAAGGTCCCTCCAACCCAAACCATTCCATGATTCCATGATTTGGGGACCCAAAGTCTTTGGGAAGAGCGTGTGTGCACCGAGATGACCTTTAGAGGTCCCTTCCCACCCAAACCACTCCACGATTCCATCATTTGGGGCCCCAGAGTCTTTGGGAAGAGCGTGTGTGCACTGAGATGACCTTTAAAGGTCCCTTCCCACCCAAACCATTCCATGATTCCATCATTTGGGGCCCTAAAGTCTTCAAGATGGCCTTTAGAGGTCCCTTCCAACCCAAACCACTCCACGATTCCATCATTTGGGGCCCCAGAGTCTTTGGGAAGAGCGTGTGTGCACTGAGATGACCTTTAAAGGTCCCTTCCCACCCAAACCACTCCACGATTCCATCATTTGGGGCCCCAAAGTCTTTGGGAAGAGGGTGTGTGCACCAAGATGACCTTTAAAGGTCCCTTCCCACCTGAACCATTCCACAATTCCATCATTTGAGGTC